AGAGAGAGAGACAGAGAGAGAGAGAGAGAGAGAAATAAAGTAAGATTGTGATTGTGAGGAGCAGGGAGTGGATGAGAAAGAGACAAAACAAGAAAAAGGGAGAGAGAGAGAGCATGAGCAATATGAGGTTTTTGCTTGGTAATTGATTGGAATTAAATTATAATAACTGCATTTTAAAACTGCATTTAAGACGTTTGCATTTTAATATTCATAAAAGACTAACAATATTTATAAGTGAACTTACTCTGTGCTGAAATTAGTTTCAATGACTGAATCAATAACTTTAATGAACAGAGTTGTAAAGTTTTTTAAAGGTTTAAAAAGAATACAGGCATTTACGGTTGTGACTTGTAAGAATCTCTGGAGAACAGTTTTAAAATAAATACTCCTGTGATTTCGTTATCTGTGAAACACATGGTATATCCACACGAATGACATGCTAAGAGACCTTAGAATAGATCCGGTCAAAAAATACATAAGGGACAGAGCCCTGAAGCTATACGCGAAAATCGACAGGCTGCCCTACTTAGCAGTAAGTAATTTTAGAATAATCTCTAGCTACACGGGGGTACGCAGATCTTAAATCAATCATCGAATAATTATGTAGCTTTTGAGGAATACATATATTAGTCAGTGAGATGTGCGGGACTCTGCAGAATTCCCCCAGCTATCACAGAGTAAAAGTGCACAGATTCACTAACTCGGAAAATATTTAACATAACATTTTCTTAAACATCAACTTTCTTTAACACAAAATTGTTTAATATTTTATTAATTAATTTGCTAGTTCCATTCAAAGTTGGTGGAAGAATTAGTTTGTTTACGATGGCAACTAGAAAAATGTTTTGAAGCTTAAACTACAAATCAGAGGCCGTCGATCGATAGTTCTAATTAAACTGCCTGTGAAACTCAAATAAACTCGAATCGGCTTATGTGAACGAATTTAACTGGAAACCATATACAGTAACGCGTGGCTATAAATGGGGTTGCCTAGGCGTATACGTGACATTTTTAGAATAGCAGCGCTGAAAATTACTGCGATGAATATTTTGCGCCCGCATAATTTACGGTAGGCGCTTTTAATGAATTTCTACATGCGAATTATAGCAACACTGCAAGCGGAATACCAAATGCGAATATATGTCCCGGGAAGTGGAGTGCAAAAATTCTGCATTGCACATGCGAAACGGAAATGAAAATATTTTGCAAACTTCCGTTAATGAATAAAATGAAATATTCGCATAAATGCGTGCCTTATAAAGTCCAAACTGCAGTTACTGAAGTAAAATATTAAAATTTATTTTAATTTAAATTAGTTTTGCTTTGCAAAGGTGTTTAATAATGGAATTTTATATAGCAATATGAACATTTGCTTTAAAAACTAAATAATATTATCTTGTATATTGAAAATATTATTAATAGTCGTAATATATGTAAATATAATAATTATTCAAAAAAGAAAAATCCATTTAAATCACATTTTAAAATGAGTAATTGAGAGGGTTTCAGTGATCCTTGAAATCGTGTTGGAATAACACAAAAATCTGTGCGAAAACTATTTTATTCACAATTGCATTCAGCATTCACTAGCAAAAAGTATCTCAAAAGGCAAAAATAATCCATAAAATGTTTTGTCAAAATTTTTACACACGGACTTTGCTGGTTCATCACAGCAACTCTGTGCTCTCGATTTGCGGAGCTAGACAGGCGCCAGGATAGGACATGCAATTCAATTCAATTCAGTTTAGTTTGATTCAATTTCATTGAGTTTGGTATTCGTGTTGTTTGGTTCCATTTTATTTGCCTTGTTTTCGGCAATAAATGAAAAATCCTGAACAGGATTGATGCGACATGACCATGGCGGACGTTTATAATTAAATGCTGTGAATGGATTCGTGTTGACGACTCTGCGGGCTTTATTGAGGCTTTGGTTTTGCGGTATTACCACAGCGGATGTGGTAAATTTGCATAAGGGAAAAATTTATCTTTTTGTGATTTTGGAAAATTTGAAAAGGAAAACAAAGTAAAAGATGGAAAAAAACTAGCACAAAATTCTGATTAGGCACTAAAGAAGAATGTATTCAACTCTTTAGTTTTTTTTCATTAAAAACATAGACTAGAAATATGTCAATTTAATTAAAAAAATATTTTATAATATTACAAAATTTTATAGGCTTTTAAAATTTTCATCGATGCACAAATTAAAACTTTAAGCTTTCCTGCTAATTAAAATGTTTAGGCCAACATCGGTAAAGACAGCCATCACTGCATGGGAATTAAAAAATAATATACCTGCCGCGCAGGCTGTTGAAATGGGCTTACAATTTCAATGGCCGCCCATTGAAAGAATGGACGCCAGTTTGGCTGAATTAGTCAAATGTCGCAAACTTAGTCTCTCAACCAATATGATTGATAGGATTACAGGTATCAATAGCCTTACAAATTTAAAAATTCTAAAACTTTCCCGTAATAAAATCAGAAGTCTTAATGGGATTGTAAGTAAACTTTTTGTTGTAAACTTTTTGTTGTATTTACCATATGACCCATTATGACCATATATTATGTTGTTGTATATCCGTGGCAGGAGTTCTTAGCATACACTTTGGGAGAGTTGTCGGTCAGCTATAATTACATTGAACAATTGAAACCAATTGACATAATGAAAGCTCTGAAAGTATTCCACGTTGCAAATAATCTCGTTAGTGATTGGACAAACTTTGATCTAATGGCCGCGCCACCTTTGGAGTCCATGTCATTTCTTGGCAATCCATTAGAGGAGAGCCTGTCAGATGAAATATATAAAACTGAAGTGAAGAAGCGTTTACCAAATTTAAAGTATTTAGATGGTGATCCGATTGTATGATCAATCTGATATGTGCAGCTTAATATTTTAAACAGTATAAATTATTTATATCAAGTATTCAACTTGAAACTGAAAGTCTCCAGAATTAAAGCAGAAAATGCATAGGACCAACATTGTGCTAAAGAAAAATATTTAAGAGTGTATTGTAGAAATTTTCTTTGTAAAAATATTGAGGAATCAAAATTCATTAAAACCCTTTAAAGTTAATCAATTTTCTTTTTTTTAATTATTTTATAAATGAATGAATAAAATACACTTTTCTTCATAAGCAATAAATTTCACCTCTTCGCACTCTTTCTGCTTTACTAATTTCTTAAGACCACCATTGGAAAGGTCTGCTATTTGTAAATTTCTGCGAGTTTTCATAGTTCCTTCCATAACCTACTGTATATGTTGCGTTAACTAGTTGGATTATTTTGTTGGCACCTATAAAGGGTTCACTTGTATCAATATTCAACTAATCATTTTTTAATTCCTATTACAAACGTTGCCCCATTGCGACATTCCAGAGAAAATTAACAACACCTACAAAACCATTGGATCTCCGAACATTTCCAATACATTGTCTACGTTCCTTTTCGGGTTTAACACTCCGAGTAGAAGATTTTTGTTGGAAATGACTTGTGACGTGCAAGCCAAATAGGTAACATGAACCTGATCATAAATGGAAGTGAAACCAAAAGAAATAAGGAAGCTTTTGACTTGTAAGACAATAGGCGTTAACTGAACTAATGGTTTAAGTCAGCACTTAAACCTACCAAACTAGAAAATATTTTATTTTCAATTAAGGAAGGAGTTTACATAAATGCCATTAGTCATATCATTATCTCATAGCGTTACTGTTATAGGCGTAAATTGAGATAGATACATTTATTTACTACATTATTTAAGCTTTCTCGCCTTTGTGAAGACTTTACGCTATTTTTATTTAAATCTTTTATAAATCAGCTTTGTTACTATTAATCCACTGTATTCATGGACGATCCATATATTTTATATTTACATACTTAAAGCCTAGAAGTTTCTATTACGGACGATCTTTTATTTTTATTTTTATTATATATCTAGACTAACCTAATCAGTGCGATTTTGTGATTTGTCTTTCTCACATTCATGGAGATTTCGACCACTGTTTTTTTTTTTTTGGACCTAATATTTGTCATGGGATTCGTTTTTCACAAACTCTTGAGCGTTGTTTGTCTGCAATCTTTAGTGTCTATTTTTCAAAACTATATATAAGAGTCTATTTAATAGTATTGTTTAATAATTCGAGTTCACATTAGTGTATTCGATTGAAATTTTCTGTTTATTTCTGCTCAAGTGGACTTAAGTGCACAAGGCTGTCACTCCAACCTAGCCATTTGAAATTTTTTAAGCAACCCAATAAGATGATTTCATACAGTTTGGTTCAGTTATCAGTTCACATTGAGTATGTTTCCTTCTGCTTTGAAATTATTTAATTTTGATATGAAATATATCATAATTCATTTAAAAATCAATTTTTATTTATTTCTATAGTATATTTTTTTTTTATTCCAGTGAACTTCACTTTATAAAATAGACAAAAACTGTAATTTGTCCTGGTTTCCATCTGTTCTCGTCCTTTCATCCTGCGAATAAAAAGCAAACCGCTTTGCTGACACTTTTGTGCTTAACAAGCGGTTTCGTTGGCCTACGTTAAGTGAGGCTGACACTGCAACATCCCAAGCAAAACAACATCAAGGAAGCTGCTGGATGTTGTTCTCTCTTTGTCTATTCTCGTCAAAAGGATAAAAGCAATTACGGCGTAAAAAAGAAGAAGCTGCACTCGCACCTTCCGTACAAAACGCAATACAATTGTGCAAATTGTTTTAAGTGTAGATTTTTATACTTTTCCACTTATTTTTTTTTTTTAATTTTTTCCATTTTTTTTTCTTTTTTGATAAAAATTTCACGCAAAAGTTTTGCTCTTACATTTGCACTTAGCAAAGATGAAGGACAACATTTGATATGCACTACAATATGGCATAGAAAAGTTTGCCTTTTCTATGCCAGAAATTGCAACAATTTTTCTCATTGTTTTCCATTTTCCATTTTATTTTTTTTTCAATTTGTTTTTTTTTTTATTTGTTTATATTTTGGACTCTAGAAAATGTTCAAGTGTTTGTTGTAGTCTAATGGTCGCACTAATCGTCATCCACTTCAAAAGTTGTTAACAATACAAAATTGCTCACGTCAAGGAGTGGGTCCAGTTTTTTGCTGCCAAATTCGCTGAGGGAATTTTTTTAACATTTTTTGGTAGAAAAATTTTCGCAACAACAAATGTAATTAAAAAAGGACGAAAATCTAATGAATTTTTGCTAACTAAAAAGTTTTCTTACTCTGTGTGAAGTGAAGTGAAGTGTTTCTCGCCGGGGACTTCATGCGAGATTTTTATTAGTATTGTTTTAATTTTTTTTTCAAAACCTTTTTTTTTTATTTTTTTCCTACAATTGTTGAGAAATTTTTGGCATTTAATTTTTACTTTTATTATCCTTTTTTTCAACTATTATTATTTGGCAATTGTTTCGAGTACAATCCACTCAATTATGTTGGCATTCAAAAGTAGATTAACTCTTAATTGAGGATGTAACTTTCACGAACTTACATATTTTTGGTTGTTCTTTGATAAATGAAGAAGTACGTTTATTAAAAGAACAAGTACAAAAAAAATATTATTAAAAAAATACAAACTAAGTAATTTTTTTATTCACCAAATAAAAAATTATTTTGAAACTACGCTATTATATATTTTGTCTTCCTAAAATTTAAAATAGACTTTAATCAAGAAACTTAGTACCATTATTTGTAAGCAAAGGACAACCCCAGTCTTATTTAGGCAAGGGAAATTCATAAAACCTACAATCAAGCAATAAAAATCAAGAAAATATTAGGTCTTTAGAAAGGGAATACTGGAATTTTTTAATTAAATATAAAATATTGTCCTAAAGATTATAAAGAATATCTCTTCGGCTTTCTATTATATAAAAAATTCTCAACATGAGAAATTGAAATAAATTATCAATAATCAAATATGAATTGATTAAATTGATCAATAAAAAAATCTATTGATCTGTAATAAAAAACTTAAAGAAACCACGAGGTCTACATAAATTAAGTAACTAGAATGCTTAACAATCATTCTAGGTTAAGTTAGATTGCGAAGACACAAGTACCAATATTTTCACTCGAAGACACTTATTGCCTATTGTGATACCCTTAAGTTGCCAGAGTAAGACTCGCTACAGTAACTATTGTTGTAATTATAATTGAACGTTTTATCCCTATTAGGCAGTTTGATTTTTTATATGAAATTGAAGATATTTGATTTGTTTAATTCCATCATCTCTGCTAGCACAGAGAAGCTACAACCTTCTAGACTTTAAAGAGACTTCATCTGTAATAGGACTATAAAGATACAAAAAGAGATTAATGAATTTTATCATGGATAAGGCCAATTCCTAAATATGTTATCGTTGATTCATAGTCATTATCAGAATGTGCCGTTAATGTGCCGTCACTAATCACATGAAACGTACGCTTACTAAACCCTTTCAGAACTTATGACACATAGTTCTAGCGACCCCACAATTTTTGACTTAATTTATAAGTTAAATATAACAATCTATTAGTGGTATAAAATTTAAGCTTTAAGTCATATATCACTGCAATGATTAATATATATTTTTTTTCTAAGTAGTTATTATATCGGAGCTTGTATAGTATAGAACTCATTTCTGTTGATTTCGAAGCTTCTCCCTTCAATATTTTTATATCCACAAACCCACAAAAAATATTTTGAGACGGCGATAATAACTTTAAAATTATTTAAAAAGATACTTGATCTCTGCTTTCCTGGCTATAGTAGAAGTAAAAAGCACCTACCTATCTCAAATAAATGTCTTTCAAAATACTACTTTTTTGTTCTTTAAAATAACATGAAGTTAATCCAAATTCAAAATGGCACTCTCTCAAATTAAATGCAATACATATTTCGTCAGAAAAATATGCTGGGTTTAAAAGTATACTTCTATTAAATCATCTGAATAACTTATTATTAGAATTCAACGAAGCTTTTATTGCAATGGATGATCAGAGTGGTTACTGACACTATTGAGTAAAAGTGCTGCAGACACTTCTCAATCACTGATTCAATATTCTTATTTTTAAGTATATGGTACATAAGTTTTCCTGTTCTAGTTATAAAAATAAACAAACTTCGAATCGGATAATGCGGGTCTCTTATACAAAACTTCTAATCCGGCTATGTGAATATAAGTGCTAGCAAAGTTCTAATCAATCTTCAGCACTTCATAATAATTAGACTATAGTCTTCCAGCAACTTCATAGCTTGATTCATAATTAAATATGACACGGAATATATAACATATAATATAATATTGTAATAACCGGAATACAATTTTATTTTTTAAGAATAAAGCTTATTTGCTTTCATACTATATATTATGGAATGTATAGAATATATATATTATAAAATATATATAATAAACTATACATATTTAAATATATCTGTATATATATATAAAGTACTCACCTCTACCGCTACGTCCGACAAATCGTAGATCATTAAACTTGGCCACTTGATTTTTCATAACCGCTGTGCAGTTTCGCAATTCCGCACAATAATTCTCGTCATTACCCGCACGTACTGTGACCATTGTACCATCCATAATATCACCGAGAGAGACGACCTTAAATGCAACCGGCAATGTCTTGTTCGAACGCCAATGAGGCGGTAGCACAGTGCACACAAACAGTGGACTGCTTGTGCGTATTAACTCGCCTGGGTGTTCGGTAAGAAAATCGCCCAAGGTGCGTTCGGCTAAGATGTCTGACGTCATCTTGGTGTACGCCTCATTCAGCAGTTGGGCGGCTGTGGGCGGAGTGTTCTGTTCATTCGAAGTGTTGGTGCCATTTGTGGCATTGTTATTGCTGTTGTTGCTGTTCGAACTGGAATTGTTGTTTGTGCTGTTGCCGTTGTTTGCAGTTGTGTTTGTCGTTGTTGTGAGATGCATTTTGTCAGAATGGAATTTGCCTTTAACTACTTTCTTAAAACGTACTATTTTTACTTTTTACTACTATTTTTTATTAAGATGATAAGAACATTTAGTTGTTAGGAGAAAGTTTTTAGAAGTGCATCTGTAAAAGAAAAAAAGAATTTAATAAAGAGAAATAAATTCTTTTTATAAAAAATATTGAAGAAAAAAATATGATAAAATTTGCCACACAAAACTTAATTATAAAAGCTCAGTGACGTGTAATATTTTTTTCTTAAAGGTATATTCTACGGTATATACGTAATTCCATATAGAAATATTTAAATAAAATTTCATTAGAAAAATTCTTCAACATATCCAATATTTTTAATTATTCGCATATGAAATACAGCAGACGAAGCAGTCGACCCAAGACCAATTATTATTTGAATACCTATGAAAGTCTCAGAAAAAATTACTAAGTCCTGTAAAGCATAAAAAAAATTGAAAAGCTTTTCCCAAAAAAAAAGAACAGAGAAAATAAAGGTACCTCAAATGAAACGATTTTCATACCTTTCGCCATTTATATCCATTAAGCCAACGCGGCTGCCGTTATCGATACCTCACGGCAGACATAGTCGTCAAATGGAGAGACTAGTAATACTACATACTACATGTATGAATTTTGATTTACCATAACGATATCCTAGCAAACTTGCTCTAATCGTTGAAATCAAGGTGACAAACCACTTTAAAAAAAACGTGCTTAATATAGCCTCAATAGAGCAGCCACGGATTGTGCACTTTTAATACCGAAAAAGTGGAAAAATGAGAAAAATAAATGAAAAGTAACGGATTGGAGCTGTCGAACAACAATAAAGCATTACAAACACCCATCGACAAAAGAAAAATGTACCAACCGAACAGCAAAAAATCCAAAAAAATGTCCAAAATATACCGTTTAATATCTTGCGGCATGTTGTGTGGCATATAGACAGGAGGACAGACAAGTATTGTTGTCGGAAGTGGCAGGGTTCCAGAGTGTGGCAAAAAGCAGCCCAAAAAAATTACTTGAAATAAAACCGAGAAAAAATCGCGCTTTCAGTTCAGCGCACGTAAACCCTTACAATTTTGGCCAAAAGTCAACCAGCAGCTGCGGCATTTTTAAGTAATTTTTATCGGTCACATTGTATGGACTGGTGAGGCCGTTGTATAATTGGTATGAAACACAACGCAAAATGGAACTCTAATGTCCAGTATTGCCCTTACGTGATCCAATAACTTTTTTTTTTTGTTGTTAGGTTTGGTGTCTTCCATAGTCAGCTTAATATTTAACCACCAGGAGTTGACAGACGATGCTACTTCTCCATTGTGTATGCAGGAACAAGTGAGAGTCAGCATGTTTAACAAGGACATCTTCGTGTTGTGATGCCATCAATGGAACAAACCATCTTACATGACATTTTGATAATAATCGCATTTTAAAATGGGAAAAAGTAGAGAGAGTTGAAAAGAGAAGAATAAAACCATAAAATTAACAAACAGGATCGGAATATATTAAGCAGAATTTAATACAGTTTTTTGTATTAAATAGAAGAAATAAATTTCCGGAAGTGATCAATTACTTTATTTAAATATTGTCATACTCATAATATTTTCTGAAATTATTAACTTTTAAAATAATTATCAGTTAACATATCTTGAAATAATTCAAGAAACTTATAATTAATTTATACCTACATATACATTTTATTCTATCCTAAATCTATACATTGATAAATTACTTACTCCCTATCACAGAGTCCCAGCCTTTTCATATTGGCTAGCGAACGCGATTTCTTGATAGGGCTTTAAGTTCATTCCAACTTAATTTTCGTTGCGACCCCAAAAGGATAGCGGTCTTCCAAAGCTGCTTCTTTTTTTCTTTGGGATAAGGCTTAGAATATTCCCGAGGTATGGGAATTACTAAAATTCATTAAGCACCATCCTCTACAGCATCGTGCTTTTGGAACATAACTATAAGCAAGTGGATTTCATTTGTGACGCCTATTTGGAGGTTTATATACGGTACCATGGGATTCAGGTGTGCTAAATATAGGATTGGCCCTGTACGGAAGTGTCGTAACTGTGGCTAACGTGTAAATTTATTTGAGACGAGTGTAAGTATTTATGCTTTCACCCGATGTGAAGTTGTATTTTCTCAATCGGATATTATAACTCAAAGAGCAGCAGAAGCTTAGACGCGCCTCGCTTCTCAACAAGGTGGAACTAATATCCAAACGTGTCACTTATATTGCTATAGTCAAATGAATTTTAATAGCACGTTTATTGACGCATTATGTTGATAAGAACACCGTAGTATTAAAGTATCACGGAAGACAACTAGAACGCAACGCTACGCCTTGCTTGCTGAAATGAATTCCAGATAACGGCTGCTGTTCTCAGTACCGTTACTACTGTCACCGTACTTTTTTTTTCTGCAACGGCTGGTAGACCTATAGAGTATAACTGGAACATCTATTGATGAAGGTCTGTAGACGCTTTGTTATCACTGAAGTTATTTTTCAAGTGCTGTATTCATTTACCAGAATGCTTAATCTTAAAGCATTATCTAAAATAAGGCATAGCTTTATTTTGACCGAAACTGTTAACCATTGTTGTGATTAAATTAAAGCAGCAAACTGCTTAGACACATCCATGGTCACTCATACATACCACTCACATCCTTCGGGTAATGAGAATGCAAAATAACGCACGTTCCATGCATTTGGTCGTTGGCCGTCAGACGGGCTCAGTGCGTATTAAGCCCAGTAGATGCTGTCAAGTCTTTTTTATTTGTACTTCTGTATCCAGTGTGCAATGGAAATTGGTAAACTTCACTGCAGTTAGTGTGCAGTTGAGGAAAATGAAAGTTGACGTCTAGTGCACAGGAAAATCCAATTGCAGCCATGAAATTCTCTTATGAAATAATGAGTCCTGCTGTACTGACCGCTGTTGATGCTGATGCTGATGAAGTCGGGCACGTTTTAATGCACTTGCAATTTGTTGGGTTCAACTCTATGAAGAAGATACCACAAAGCGGCCACCAAAAGCAACTAAACTTCTGGTCAATTCGAGGTTTCTACTGTTATTTGTGCTAATGTTGTTGTTATTGGTAGTGTTGTTGTTACACGCACACTCACACACCCATATATCCACAAATGTTTGCTAGTGCTTTTATGGTCACATAATATTCACTTTCTGTCTAAAATAGGCGCAAAATCTGTATCATTTTCAAACGTCTAACGTTCTAACGTGCAATCCTTGATAAACGTTTAACAACAAAAAGGCGTATTGTTTGGTGCAATCTTCTCCTTACGCCATCACTCCATAACCACTCATTCGCTTTAGTCTTGCACAGCCGCACACCACATGATTATGCCACTAAGGTGCCACATCAGTTGCAATAAAGTCAGCTTGAATGCAGCAAAAGGATGTGCCACTCAACACATACAAACAACAATGAACATCCAACAAAACACCAACCCATGAGGTCATCCATAGCAACCATGCATCTTTTGAATTTTTCATCTTTTCCTACGCTGCATCCAGTTCTTCTGCGTTCACTTCTGCAGTTCAACATTTGCCGCATGCAATTGCATTCAACAGCAATGCCAGTTGCTGCAATTGCTGCTTGCATGCGTAGGTATGTATGGTAAGTGCGTAAGGTCGTAAATGCATAAAGCAATGCACTTTCCTTAAAGCAGGAAATGCAATTTATGTTTTCGTTTTGCTGATTACTGTGGATTTGTCGATACGCCCAAGTTAGTAAATTTTTTCCTGGTCTGTTATTTTTAAGCTTAAAGTGGCATAATAAGTCTGCCTTCACACAAAGTTTGCCTGCTCTAAATTACGTTTATTTTCCAGCCGTTTTTCATTGCTGCCTGCTGTTTTCATTGCCGGGCCTATTGGTGCAATTGTTGTTCTTAATGTTGCTTTTGTTGTTGTTGTTGTTGTTGTTGCTGTTGCTAGTTGTTGGTTGTTGGTTGTTGGTCGTTGGTTGTTTGTTGCTGGCATTGCAGTTGGTCAGAAAAGATGAATCACTTTTTGGAAAGTGCGTTCACTGGTTTTAGTAACACTTTTCATGTGGTTGTGGTATTTTTGTGGAATCAAGTATTAACATTTTTGGGGTTTTAAAGTGTTGATTGGATTGGATTTTGTGTGCAAATTGATAAATTACACTTTAAAGATGTTGTGATGCATATGAACACGTGCACTGCGGTATACCAGGCAAGTTGTTGCAATTCATTTTGGTTTTCCCAAAATGCAACTTACGAGCAACTCAATCGTATAGTTTGTAGATAGATTTGTGGTAGTTGAAATTAATTGCTTAAAATGAAAAATGGTCAAATGCATTAGAACCCGACTTGATTTTAACACTTTTTTTTAATAGTTAGTATGATTATTTTCTCTGTGTCAGTTATTAAAAACTTCAACCATACGGAAGTACTAAGAATATCTGAGACATGAGAATGAAATTTGAATAATAAAACTAGAATTTCAATATAATTTAAACAAGTCAATCCATCAAGACTGAATTTCAATTCCGAGACAGAAAGCGATGGCCCATATAGGATGAGCTATAACCTTAAGTTGTATCAATTGAAGTATTACGTATCATAATCAAATACTTGAAGAATTAAAGACTGATATGGGGTGGTAATACTATACAAAAGTCTGATAGAAGAACACAGATAAAAGTTTTACTAATAACAAGAGAAGTTAATACTCTTGCATTAAATGGAATGAATTAGTGAGCAATGTCTTACGAATACTAGTAGCTAGCAGCTAGAAACGATACAAAACGCGGATAAAGATAAAAACAATAAATTACAAAAACAAGAACTCAACAAGAATCGACAATAGTACCAACCATTATCTATAATATCGTTAAATTTATATATGACTATCAAACAGCAATAAATACTCCAAATAAGGATGCCAATTAGTTCTGTGGAATATTAATATTAAAAATATTAAGTTATGCACTGGAGTTTTCTTAACATGACCCAAGATCACTTAAGAGAAGAAGAGA